CGGCGCCCGCCGCGGCGATAAACCCGCCCTGGGGTGGCTGCCACAGCTGTCGTGAGACAGGCTCCTCGGGGCGACTGTGCCCTAGCAACATTCGCTGAGCTCGGACCAGGAACCAGGTGCCGGGCGAGCGCTCCTGCTTCTGCCATCAAGGCCTACGGCAGCACCCAAAGCAGGCACTATTATGCCCACTGTGCAAGAGAAAGAGTAGGTGCAGAGAGGGAAAGTTCTGGAAGCCAGGCGTGTGCCGGTCACGCTAGCCTGCCTCTGTGCTTTCTGGACTCCCAGAGACAGCACGGCTCCCTCTTCTCCAAGAGTGTGAAGTGCGTCTGGCTCCAGGTGCTGGTGGACAGCAAGTCCAGGCAGCGCTCAGGCCCCAGGGCGGCAGGGGCCAGGAAGTGGGGGACGGAGAAGCTCCGCCTACCTGCCTGGTTCGTGGTGATGTTGACGATGGCAGCGCGGCGGGGCTCGGGGCTCAGGTCGGACACGCCGTTGACGGCCTCGATCCAGAAGGAGTAGTTCATGTGGGCCAGCAGGTTGGCCACCAGCAGGCTGGCCTGCACCAGGCTCGTCTGCTGAGGCACGAAGCGGGTGCCACTCCCGCAAGCCTCGCAGTGGCTCAGTGCCCAGGGGCAGCGGCGGCACACGGCATTGTAGGTGATGTCACTGCGGCCACCGGGGTCCAGGGGAGGGGCCCACTCTAGGGTCACTGATGTCCCATTCACACTGGAGATCAGATTCACAGGGGCTGAGGGTGGCCCTGGGGGCAGAGGAGCACAGGAGGGGCGGGGAGTATGTATCTGGGCTGGTCCAGTCTCCCCACCACCAGATCAGGGCTCCCCCGTCATAGCAGGAGCTCCTTAGGATACCTAAGCGCCACCTCCAAGCAGGACAGGGCTTTGTGCTTCCCCAGGTTTTCATCCAGAGTGGGAAGAGACAGCGCAGGCCTGGGGGTGCCCACAGCAGCCACCTGCATGTGACACGGCCCTGTCATCTGCACCCCACATCTCTCCCTCACCCTGTCACTGAGCACTCACTGTGGAATAAGGTGGTGGCCAGGAAGCCCACTCTGTCCCCAAGCTACATGTGTGCGAGTGCTCTCTCAGTCCCAGCATGGAGCCCCAGCCTGAGCAGCAAAAGACTTTGGAGAGAGAGGGCCGCCCCTGGGTTGGGCAGACGTGGGAGAGGCTGGGGGCTAAGGTAGGGCCCTGGGGTGGGGGGTGGACGAGGATGGCAGGGACTGTTGAGGGACGTCTGTGCCTCAGAATTCAAACTCTCAGAATCCCAGGCAGGGAATGTCAGACCTTAAGATAACAGAACTGTCAGATCTGAGAATCACAGGGACTCTTACAGTCCGAAGGGGGTGGCAAACTAAAAAACCCAGTCTCTGCCAGTGCGAAGATTCTAGAGCCTAATGGTGCTGAGCTGCGAGTCCGGAAAGAAACCAGAGTCCAGCCAGCTGCGTGTAAGTGCCCATGAGCCAGAGACAGGTTCACCTTGCCCAAGGTACCCACAGCTGTCACCGTGTCGCTCAGCCAACCTTTCTGCCCCAGCAGGTCCCACAGGAGGAAAACACACAGGTCTGGGCAGACGAGTGGAGGGAGGATGTGCATGTGTGTGTGTGTGTGTGTGTGTGTGCGTGTGTGTGTGTGTGCACATATGGGTGTGAACCCACCAGGGCCCTCTCTGGTCGTGTGCAGGGAGCCTGCTGCACGGTGATGGAGGTAGGGGGTGAGGGTGGAGACTGGGCAGATTCCCAGGCAAAATCAGAACACTCTGAAGTGCCCCTCACCCCACCACGAGTGCCCAGGGGTGGCAGAGGGGTAAGTGGACTGCAGCTCCTCCCAGGCCTGGGACAGGAGTGACAGCAGCCCCTTCAGGGCAGGGAAGAGAAGGGAACAGAGCGGCCGCGTCAGCAGAACACTAAGGCAGTCACGCAGCCCTGCAGGCACAGGCTCCAGGATCCCCCCGCGTCCCTCAGGTACACAGGTACGTGCACACACAACCACAATCTCTAGGCAGGTGCTTCCAAGCAGGGTACACAGTGAGCTCACAGGACATGCTTACTGGAGCCTCGCAGGGACCTACGAGTCCCCTCAAGTGCCTAGGTGTACATACGTACACACGTGCCACACACACACACGTGAGAATCCTTCAGGTCTGGCTCTGTGGCACGGTGGCAGTGCACTGCTCAAGAGAAGCCGGATCTCACATGGTGACCACGGCTTGAACCCTCCAACATACCAGCTCACTCACGAGTGCCCAAGAGCCAACAAGCTAGAGGACTGGAGGAGACAGGGCGTGACCAGCCCGTGGGTGGCACTCAGCACTCGCTCTCTGCCTCTCGGTGCCTCTCCCTCTCGTGTGCACACATCCACCTTCATTAGCATAAAAGCGGTCCCTGTGCTAGTAGGTGGCACCGGGATCAAGGAGCTGGATCCCACACGGCGATTGGAGTCCTAGAGCCGGTAGCTTAAAAATCATGCGGGAGGGGATCAGCAGGTGGCATAGTGGTTAAGACGCTGGACATTCCCACATGGCCGACCAAGGTCTGAGTCCCAGACCTTGTGGCTTGCTTTCTCACTTTCCCTCTCTCTCTCTCTCTCTGTCTTTGGTCATATTAAAAAAAAAAAAAAAGAATGAATAAATAAAATAAAATAAATAATTCTTTAAAAGAAAATAAAATCATGCAGGAGGGACCAGCAGATAGCATAGCAGTTCTGTCACTGGACTTCTATGTTGTTGACCACAGTTTGAGTCCCAGATCTGGCAGCTTAAAACTCATCCTGGATGTGTGTGTGTGTGTGTGCCCAAAATCCCAAGAGGAGAATGGAGAAGGGACTGTGGCATGGCCACCCCCTTGGGAGGTTATTTCTTGCTTTCTGTCTCTTTGGTGAGAGCATGTGCTCTATAGTGAAAACCTCTCTAACAAGTAAAAAGGAAATCAAAAAATGAAATATATGCATGTCCTAGATCCCGACAAGGGATTGCCGTGTAGCCATTCCCGGGGGTGAGTTCTCTCTCTGGCAAGTGCATGCACCCTATAGCAAAACTAGAAAGCAAAGAAGAGAACCCTGCGCATACGTGGGCCCAAGCATTTGTTGCACTTGTGCTCAGGCGCCCCGGCACCACGCAGCTGTTGTTTGTAGGAGCAGCTGTTGACGCAGACCGTCACACCAGCGGGGCTAGCCCCGGAGCCAGACACACACTCCCCACACACACGCACTCCAGGCAGCTCTGACCAGCTCATCCGGGACAGCGGGAGGGTGCTGCTTGACTCCCACCCTCACCCCACAGGCCTGACACCCAGACGCCGCATCGTGGCCACATCAGGAGATGACTGCAGCTGCTGGGAGGGCTGCCCTCTGCCCTCTGGAGCAGGGAAGAAAGCCTTCCCCAGAGAGCTGGCAGGTGACACGAGACAAAGAGTGGCTGGAGCCCAGAGAGGTCAAGACCAGGCTGAGGTCTCGGTCGCCCCATCCCAGACTGCCCCTGGCTTGCATCCCTCCCAGGGTACTAGCTCCCCAGCACCAGCCTGGCCCATCTCAGCCTCGAGGGTGCTGGGGCCCGGGTGGACTCACGGGTGCAGGCTGCGGATGGTGGGTCCAGGGCTGCGCGGTAGTAGCTGAGGTCACAGCGGCAGGTCTGTGCGGCGGGGGTGGCAGAGTGGCTGTGGGGAGGGCAGCGGGCGCACAGCTGGTCCCCAGGGGCTGACTTGTAGAAACCCAGCTCGCAGGCTGTGGAGGAGAGGCGGCTGCAGGTGAAGCAGGCCGGCCCCTGGTGGGCCTCGGAGGCAGCTCAGTCTCTGACCCAGCGTTCTTGGTGGGCCCCCCAGAGGGACAGAGTGCAGACCTGCGGCCTCACCCTCTTCTGCAGCCGGAGGGATGATGCACAGGTCTGTAAGTCGCACAGGGTTGCACTGCCGGTCAGGGCTGAGCAGAGGTTGGGACCTGACACCTGAGTCCCAGCCTCAGCGTGTGAAAGGGCTAACTCAGCCTCACCCCGGCTTCTCCAAACCCCACCCTCCTCCATGGGCCCTCCACCCAGACCCTGCCTCCAGCCGCAGCTTTGATCCTCACTGGACACTGTCCTTAGGCGAGCCTTGCGGGTGCAGCCATGAGCTGAGAATGGAAGGGGTGGGACCGAGTGGGATGTGGAACAGGGCCGGGAAGGAGAACAGCTGGGAACTAACCGGCAGGGACCCTGTGCAGGAGAGCCAGGCCGGGCTGGGAGGCTCATTCCCCTGTGCCCTCCTCCAGGCAGACTGGGAGTATCCAGGAAACACAGGCCCCTCCCACCCACACCACAGTCAGCTCTGCACAGGGACTTGGACGGCTGTCTGCCTCGGCTATCTGCCTCCGGGCTCTGGCTGCTGCCGTTGCTGCTTCATCTCTCACCTGGGTGGCTACGGTAACCTCCAACCCACCTCCCCCGCCCAGCTGCCATCATTTACAGACCAGGTCCCCCCACTCCTGCCCTGAGCTCCTGAGACCAAGCCAGCCTGAGGGGCAGAGCTCAAGGAGCAGCATCTGACAGGGACCTGCCCAGGACCTCGGCTGGTCAATTTCTAGGAGGAAACAAGACAGGTGGCCAAGGGTGACGGTGGGAGGAGCTGCCTCACTGAGGAGGCCAGGACACTGAGTTGTGTCCTGGAGGGTAAGAACGAGTCAGGCCTGCGGGCAGTGGGAATATTCTAGGTTGGGGAAATCAGAAATGTGCACCTCACTCTGTCACTGTCTGTTCAGCCCCCTCCCAAGCTCCCCACAGGTACACCACAAAGCCTGGCATTTGAGTCCCTCCCTGCCAGACTCAACCCTGGCCTTCTTTAGTGCCACCTTCACCCACTCCTTACACCAAACTAACGCAATGGCCATCGCCCACCCCCACAGGCTGTGCCCTGACCCAGGGCCTTTGCATACAC